AGCACCCATAGTTCTATCAGCCTGTTATAGGACCAGTCTTTCTCTCTTATTATCACTGCCCAAGTTTACCAGGAGTGCTCTTCTCTAACCATAATAGCACCAATGGTGGTCAGATTCACGCTCTTGTTTCTATAGGCTGGTGCTGACTCACTAAGATCATCAGTATGACTTTTACTTACTTTCTTACTTTTCAGTGGAATTGTATCATGTCCTGTTAACCTCAAAGTAGATGATACTCCTCCCTTGCCCTCCATCTGGCTGGTCTATCATCCTGCCACAAGAGAGTCAATCTGTCAGGTTTAAAAGTCTTGTTATTTACTGCAGAGCTCACTGTCCCCACCCTCTCTATTTTCAGTATATCGAGTGGACGGGAAATGGAGTGTTGGGAGGTGAGCAGACAAGATTCCCTTTTCCCCAAGATCCCATGCTTGCCGTTTGGGACAAGAACACGATTAAAGAACGCTCCCCATTCTACTCTGGAAAGGTAGTAATAATCCTTCCATTTTGAATAACATTTTATTTTTCAACAGATTTTTAATATAATTATAGTGATTTCTCTATTTTACAGGTTCAGAGAAGTTTAATGACTTTCCACCCAGGTGAGTAAATGCCAAAGCCAGATTCTTAAGTATTCAAACTCCACCTCTTTTCATTATATTCACTAGAGATCTTATTTTAGCCTTAGTTTACAACCTTTCCTGTACTATTCTTGTCATTATTTATGTTTCTTGGCTAAATCTAGATTTTCTGCAGCACACACCTAAGTCAACTAATGTCAGGTGTTAAACCCGTACTTCCTTTTCCCTCATCAAGGTGACTGTTGCCCCTCTATACCAGGAGCGAAATTTTCCACACCCAACTGGAGCTCTTTCTTTTTTGAACTGAAAGTTAACTCTAGCTAAGTTTTGCTAATTAGGTTAACAGGTCAGCTATATTCTAGTCCACCTTCTTAACCCTAGATAATTTTTCCTTTTGAGGTTTAAACAAATATATCCCAAACATATATCTCTTGTCACTGGTATTTACCAATGTTAATTTCCTATAGAGTTTTCAATAGACTCAAGATGGGGACGATTTTAACAACTACAGTTATGTTCAGTTTTTAGTAACCACAGTATTTTACCATGGTCCTGTTGGGGTGGGAAAAGTACACAGTAATTTCCAATCTTTCTGGCAAGGAACTTAAAATGTAGTAGAGAATTCTGAAGTCTTTCTTCAAACAAAGCCAGTAGAGAGACAGGTTCAACGTATCTCACAATCACGCCATTTGTCACCGTGGGTTTATGTATGGTTTACTCAGCACTATCAGAAAAGTAACTGCCATGTTCACACCAAGGAGCACGCACTAGCAATACTACTCTAAACAGCACACCCCACACATCATCTGATAGTGAGACAAAGACGTTAATACTAGGTCATGCTCCAGAGCACTGGCCAATTTAAAGACCTATAACATGAGAGAAGTATCCAATCCTCTACACAGCAAGGAAGCCTAGAGCCGCCGCCATCTTAGCTGGCAGACTGAGTAATTTTACCACCAATGAGTTACCATGGTAGAATAAGGTGACCAACAAGGTGACCAACAATGAAGTCTGGGAATACAGTCAATTTTATCTGAAAGGAAGTTATCATCTTCACATCACAATGCTGATGGGTTAGACACGTGTGAATACATGTCTAAACTGTCCATAGATACTTAGCTTACATAGGAGCAAATTTACGACATGAAGACAAAGAAAAACTCAAAGCAAAACAAAAAAATTAAGCTAGCCTAATTAACATTCAATAACCCCCTGAGATGAGTTAACATAATGTGGAAGTTGTAGCATGCGTGCTAAGTCGTTTCAGTCATGCCTACCTCTGCGACCTATGGACTGTAGCCCACCAGGTTTCTCTGTCCATGGGATTCTCCAGGCAAAAACACTGGAGTGGGTTGCCATGCCCTCCTCCAGGCAATCTTCCTGGCCCAGGGATCAAACCCATTGTCTCCTGTGGTTCTTGTATCGCAGGCAGATTCTTTATTGCTGAGCCACTGGGGAAGTCCAAGTTGTAGCCTATATTGTACCAAGTAAAAATGATGATTCTTTCTCTATTTGCAGGCCAATGTTAATTCATGATTTACAAAGAACTTGTCTTTTCAAACAGACTGAAGTCACTTCCTTCACGGGTATTCTAGTGAACTATGATCCCATGAAGAAAAATCACATTAGGGCATTGCTGGTTTTCATTCATAACTATGTCTATGGGTATCTGGATACACATACAGAAAGCAGGAGCAAAGTTACAAATGAAAAGCAACAATATTTACTATGTGTTAAAAGCATAATCATCTTCACTTGAAATACTCAAACCACAAATATTTCCAGATGTGCCTTAATTCACTCTTGCTATAGGCAGGGCAGATTAAGGCACATAAAATTAACTCATTTGACAGTAAGTAGGGGAGTTGATGGTAGAATTAGAGAGTCTCTTTACTTAGAATCCAGTTCCTTTCTGGCAAAGTCTTAATAAAAAATAAAAAATTCTGTGAAATTCAGTATGAGAAATAGATATTGAGTACAACTAACTACCTCAATTACCTAAGTATCTAAAACTATCAAATGACTTCCTGATGAGCAGATTCACTCAGTCAATTCTAACTTTAGGAAATCTGTTTAAAACATACTTCAGACTACAATACAAGAGGAATTAATACTAACCCTTACAACAGATATACAGGGGAACTGAGCAACTATTGTTCAGTTGCTACGTCATGTCTGATTCTTTGTGACCCCACAGACTGCAGCATGCCAGGCTTCTCTGTCCTTCCTTACCTCCCAGAGTTTGCTCAAACTCATGCTCATTGAGTTAGTGATGCCATCCAACCATCTCATCCTCTGTCATGTTCTCCTCCTGCCCTCCATCTTTCCCAGAGTAACTATTATGCCATGAGCGAAATGCTGGGAATAGGAGAAGTCAGGCCAACAAGTTTCCTTCCCTCAAAAGAGCTCATAGTGTAGTAGGTACAGACATAAACAACTACAGCATGTGGTTAGCACCGTCAAGAAGACTGAATGAAGAACCACAAACATTCATACTTATAGAAGTTAAATCCTAAAAGACTAAGGGTTAACAAATAAAGAAAAAGCCTTTCTGGATGATCTCAGAAGCAGTGGCAGCATAAACGGGAGCAGTTGAATGTAGCCCCCAGATTTTCTGGTATGTCCATTAAAAGAGGCTATATCTCAAACCAAAATTACTCTGAGAAAGGTGAAAAAAATATGGTAAATAACTTCACTTAAGTTGAAAATGTCAAGCAGGTAGCTGAAAGTACAGGTTGAGAATTTCGGACCAGATACATAACACAGGACTCTGGGATAAAATAAGATACCCTAAGGATAGGATACATCCAGAATCATTCTGAAGACAGAATCTGAGAGAGCACATTTTAGTAGATGCATTTTAAATAACAGTTATGTGACTAGACTGAGTTACAACAGAAGATAACATCGTCAAGGGAGGAAGCACTGTAGGAGAGGTTGCTCCATGGTAGAAATGCTGCAGAGGCAGAGGAGAGGAATGCAAACTGGAAAAAAAAAAAATCATTCAATTCAGTAACTGGAGTCCACTGCAAACCACTGCACTGCAGGGCTCTGAAAGCCAGACTGCAAGGTGCTGAGCATGTGTGCTGAGGATGCAGGGCAATGGATATGGGTTTCTCCAAGAAGTCTGGCAGTGAAGAAGGCTGGAAAAACCAGCAGGCTCAGAAGGAGCTTTTTGCACTGGAAGATACATGGACATTTCAGTAGACAATGGAAAGAAAAGAGTATACTTTGCATAATTTTGTACTGATCACAGACTATAAACTTGGTTTTAATCTTTCTCAAAAACATTTTCTGAAACAAAAATGAACACAAAATTATATGTATTTTACCATTTAAACTTAATATAAACTTAAAAGCATTAACATTTTATAAATTTAATTTCTAAAAGATGTGTACAATTTTTGTTATTATACTACACCAGAATCTTGCTTCTAGTCTATCATGAGAAATTAAATGTTATTAACAATTGCTATTTTAGTTCCTGAAAGATTACTCTAATACAGAAGATGACATTTAAGTAACTATGTATGCCTTTCCCTCCTCTCCCAAAGACAAAATATTTTCAGTACGGTAATTTAGATAACATTTTTCAAGTTGAAGAAGAGAAAAATGAGAGTGTTCACTAAGATCTAAACTTTTCTTCACAATATTTTTGATAAAACATGCTTATTTATTATATATACATGCTTACATATGAATTTCCTGGCTAAAATACATGCAACCAACATGAAAAAACAAATATTAAACCATCCTCACAAGCCTAAGAATGCCCTTTTAATTAAGGCACTCATGTTTGGAAATAGGATATAACCACCAAATTAAATAAGGTGTTTAAAAGAAGCCTTTTATTAAGCACAAACAACTTTTAATACATTATCAATACAAATAGGAAAATGTATTTTAATGAATATGATATATCAAAAATCTGAAGGTTTTTCTTCATACTGACACAATAAAAATAATCAAATTTGAAGGAGAATTACAAAGCAAAATTTTGAGGACACCACTGTCTACTAATAACAGTTGAGCTATAGTCTAAATTTACTACATCACCTGGGGAGGAAGGGCAACCATTTTTTATAGAGAGAATTTCTAAACTCTTATTAGCACCATTCAAAGCTTATTATCAGTTGTTCATCTACAAACTGACAGGTCAGGTAAAGCTTTAAAGCAAGTTTTCAGTGCAATGTTTACAGTTCCTTCTTTTAAGATACTTGGAGTCTATGATCTCAAAGCATGTTAAACAATTCTGCCTTGGTAATTGCAAGGTGTTAACATGTGGAGAGAAATGTGTAATGGAAAGAAATGAGGCTTATCCTGGCTGTGAAATGCATCTTAACGTATTGTAGCTAATGCTGGAGTATGCTGACGACATGCGGGATTATGAACAGCAGGTCTCTGGGAAGAAGGCAGCTATTAGCTCTCTGTAGTCATCATTTCTGGATGTCTCAGCTGCTGCCTTTTGAGACTAACTAGTTTCATCCTGTCTCTGATGTGTTCTGCAGTAGAAGCCATGTCACTTGGGCTCCCAAAATATTGTTCAGTTCTAAAAATCAAAACAGAAAAAGCCCAATCAGATTAATACAAACCCATTGACTGTACAGTGAATGCAAAAGGAAGCAAAAATTACCATAAAAATTACCTATGTGGTATGCCGTTAGTTCATTTGCAGACCATACTGTTATCTTTGAGTAGCAATTCGGTAGGAGAAACATTTTTTAAAATGGCATAAAACCTTTTTTTAAAATGGCATAAAACATTTTTTAAAATCGAAAAAATATATTAATGGTATAAATATCCTATCATGTATACTTATGATAATCTCAATAAACCAAACAATGCAACAAATAAACAATGCAACAGCAGCAAGGTTCTGCTTCCAGCTTGGGAGCTACAGCATATACAAATATAAAATCTGTATGAGTACTTCAGTGCTAAGGACTATGGTCATCAGATGTCTAACATAGCTGGCAAGTAAAATATCCATTAATGTTAAGCCATCATTTGGGACATTAATAGGTAAAATCATTTCATTTTATCCTATTTGCAAAGATACAGCATTCAGAGTCATAGAATCTTTTAGAGCTCAAAGAGTTCCTGGAAATAATCTGGTTTAGCTCTTCATCGTTTCAGATCAGAAAACTAAGACCCAGAGAAACAAATGACTGAACCACAATCACAGTGGAAAAAACAGAATTTGAATGTGGGTCTTCAAGCAGGGAATCCAGAGAGACCACCTGATTTCTTTTATTAGGAGAACGGTACAAAAGATAAATGTGACTAAGCTCACTGTCAAATTTTACAAAGTATAAACAAATTACCATATAAAAGGGAATGGAATAATAATTGCAAATATTAAAGTTGTGAAATTTGAATATATAGCACTAAGTGACTCTCCCATTTTAAAAACGAAAGTGACGCATGAACTATTTGTAGAACATGGGAGAAGCAGCCCATGCAAAAGTACCAGGGGGAGTCGCTCCTGGGAGGACTTGAGTAGAATGGGACTGACTTTGTGACAACTGGCTGTGAATCACAGAACTGAGGTTTTGGGGGAGGGACTTCTGGGAACAGACCAACCAGAAGCACCCTCCTAACACTGTTACCAGCCGGATCTATGAAGTTTTATTCTCTTTTATACACTGGAGATATACATGACTTTAAAAGCTACTTCTGATTATTCAAGTTTAGGTATGACTAGAGATTATCTTGGAGAAGGAAATGGCAACCCACTCCAGCCTGGAAAATCCCATGGATGGAGGAGTCTGGTAGACTACAGTCCATGGGGTCACAAAGAGTTGGAAACGACTGAGTGATTATCTAAGTACAGACTATGAAAAACGTTGTATCTTCTCAATATCAATTCCAAATAATCCTTTGAAGCTCATGACACATTAGCTGTGGCACTTATCACGTGTGAGATAATCATTTTAAGTAGTTTATATACATGTAGCTCATTTAACTCCCTCACTACCCGAGGAAGTATGGAAAATATATTCCTATTTTTAGATGAGGGAACTGAGGCACAGAAAAGGTTAAGTGGCTTGCCCACGATGTCACAGCTAGTAAGTGGTGGAGCTGAGATTTAAACCCAAGAAATCTGGTTCCAGAGTCCACAATCAAACCTACTCACTATATTACAGTGTTGGTGTTTTTGTTTAGTTGCTCAGTCATGTCCGACTCTTTGTGACCCTATGGACTAGTCCACCAGGCTCCTCTGTTCATGGGATTTCCCAGGCAAGAATACTGGAGTGGGTTGCCACTTCCTTCTCCAGGGGATCTTCCCGACCCAGGGACTGAACCCACATCTCCTGCACTGGCAGTGGATTCTTTACCACTGAACTACCAGGAAAGCCCTGTATTACAATGTTAGGATACTTATATTCAAAGGTTTGGTTTCTCTATTGTTTGAATTACATATCTTCTGAATTACCACCAAATTGTTTTCATTGAGAAGATCTAGCTCCCTGGGGATAAAGCTACTATGATTCATTTACTGGACCATTTATTTGCAAGAGGTTAACTCTTTATTTTTATCATCAACTATTTGAAATGGAAAGGAATGTGGAAATCAAGACCCCATCATTTTACAAAAGAAGAAATTAGGACTATATAGCACAGTGAAAAAGAGAATGTATTTAGTGCCAGACAGACATGAAACTATGTTCTAATTTCACTTAGAAGCTGTGATATCCTGACAACTTACTTAATCTTTCTGAGCTTTGGTTTCTTCATCTGTAAAGCACAATAATCGTATCGGCCTAGCACTGTTTGGTCAAAAGCCTAAAGGTGAAATGTTTAGCTTTGCGCTGTGTATATAAGGTATATATTTTGAGCTTACTAAACAGTCCCCTCCCCATCCATTCCCTGAATGAAGTTCAAAGTCACCAGACTCCTTATCATCACAGTCAAGGCTAGAACCCAGTATGTCAACCTAGTCAATGATCTTTCTTCTACGACAAGCTATCGAGGGCAATACATTCGATAGCAGCAAGTACCAACTGCTACCACTGTTAAAAACCCAGCAGGGATTTCTTTTCATTTTAAACTAATTTATTACAGATACTGAAGATGTGAACCAAAGCTAATTTACTAGGACTTTTCAGAAACAGATTTTCTTCTTTTGATATTACTTTAAGACCTTACTGATAAAAACACAAATTATAAGAATGTACAGCATACCCATCAGGATAAACTACAGGAACAGTTAGTCTATCTAAAAGTGATTTCCCAACTGCTTCAACTTCATCAAACTGCTCCTCATCATTAATAGCTTCAGGCTCTTCTGGACAGTCTTGTAAAATCTGAAACAAATAAAAGTGCAACATCAATCAAGAGACACAGAAAGGAAATCAAGTTCATTAAAATTTAGTAGATTGAAGGTGTTTCTGTTGTTCCTAGAATCTTCACATATGTCACAGAAGACTGATTACTGACAAAGCTGACTCAAGAAATTAAAATAAAATCAAACACATAACCCACACTAATGATTTCGTAATTGGAATAAGAAGAGTTCTATAGTGATTTCCAAAAAAAATACTAGACTATTATTTGGAATTAAAGTGAAACTGTGCTTAAGAAGTAGTATTCTTTCATATACCAAGTAACTATTTATTGAATACTCACTTTATGTTTATGTAGTGACTTGGGATATGAATGAGAAACAGATTTTGACCTCAAAGAACTTACAAACTTCACAAATGAAAAAATATATATAAATACATAACATATACTCAGAGTACAAACACATAACAATGTGATTCCCTAGCTAGAAACTTTACAATTATTTTAAAAACAAATCTGCTGACTTGAGTTACATGATATAAAGTAAAAAACAAAATATAAATAGATATGGTTTTAATTCAAATTTGGAATTTGTACAGTCCATGATATTATTTTTTTCCTTAATAATCACTATTTAAGTTTAAATGGTACAAAAGGAAGGAAAGAAAAAATTGCTGTGATTTGTAATAGTTAAAGCTGTAAGTACAGACCCACATAGCAGCCACTAGGTACATATGGTTAGTAAGCTTGTGTCTAGTCTCAAATGCAGATATGCTATCAGTCTAAGATACACTTCAGATTTAAAACAATAATACTAATTTAAAAAATTTACCTATAAGAAAAAATCTGCAAAATTTAAGACAGAATAAAAATAATTTATTTTTGCAACTTTGCATACTTTTATGAATCCAATTATGTTTATTTTGGCATTACTCATAAAGGATATTTTCATATTATAAAATTCCAGATTTAATTTAAATATTTTCCTAATCACTATAATTTGCTATGCAGTTTGCTTATAGTTGTGGCTTGCTGGTATGAAATAGAACCCACCCGAGAGAAAAATAACATCTAATAACAAAAGGTTTTACATAGGTTGACATAATAAAATAACCTTAAGCAGAGTTTATTATAAGCACGATAAAGGCCATGTACCAGAAAAAACAGGAATATTAATATTCTATGAAAAAAATTTCAACCATATTCATTCTTGGGCTTCCCTGGTGGCTCAGATGGTAAACAGTCCGCCTGCAATGCAGGAGACCCAGGTTCGATCCCTGGGTTGGGAAGACTCCCTAGAGAAAGGATTGGCTACCCACTCTGGTATTCTTGCCTGGATAATTCCATGGACAGAGGAGCCTGGCAGGCTACAGTCCATGGGGTCACAAAGACTCGGACACAGCTGAGCAACTAATAAATATTCATTCTTACATAACTTCTTAAAGAGATCTAGATTTTTAAATGTCTTTGCAGATACACTTTAAGAGCAGCATCCTAAAAAATTATTAGTGGTGTTAAGAGATCGGGCCAGTGGTCACACTGGGATGGGCAGCAGAAGCAGTGTGATTAAAAGAGGATGGGGAACAACCTCTGGGGTGCTGGTAACATTCTGTTATTTGAATAGTGAGCTGATTACACAGGCATACTCACTCTGAAAATTCAGTGAGTAGAACATCTGAGCTGCACATTTTTCTATGTTAGTATTTAGTTCAATAAAAAGTTTTCACTAAAACAATCAATAGATAAATAAGTCAAGCCATTTGGATACTTTCATTCATCATCAGTCGGCCCATCTTACACTAAAAAAATGACCTGTAGAGTTCAGTAACCGGCTCAGTAAGAGTTAATGTGGACATTCCCCAACAGATGTACTGCGTAACACAGACAGAAACTCCTTAATTTCTAAGGCTCCTGGCAGTATCTCTTCTGTTCTACAGACCAAGGCTATTTTAGGTTTCTCATATCTTAACCTGCATTGAATATACCCTACATATAAACTTTCATCAAAACAAAGTTAACTACTTAGTAAGGCTCTTCTCTGGAATGGAAATAAAAGACTTCAATGCTATAAATTTTCACTGTAAAGTTGAGAAAAAGGTTCTATTGAAAATTTGCCCCAATAAAACACCGCATATTGACTTTTAGTTTCTGGGATTAATGAATTCATTAAATAATAAAACCTAGAATGATTCTTCAAAGATAACACATAAAAAAAAAGGTTTCATTTTTATCCTTGTAATTTTAGCTGGAGAGTCTCAAACATTATAAAAATCACAAAGTGACCTTCTAAAAAATTTATGACAATTAGTATTTGCAAAAGCAGAGTTTCCTTTCTTGGCATAATGAAACAGTGGGAGTCATGACACCTGAAAGAACACAGTACATTCTGGGCATCAGGTCTGGTGAGGAGAGACATGGTGCTGAGCAAAGACTACTGGATGGTTTCAATTCTTCTAACCAGAGTACTCCAACCCTGGTATGGCTTACCAAGAATCTGATTTGAACCTTCTAAGACAACATGTTATACCTAAACGAACTTTAAACAATGGAATCCATATAAATTTTTAAAGAACAGACTAATCAGAAAATTACAAGGTAAACACACTTTAAACATACATAACACACACGACTGAAACTACATTTTTAAAAAAGCGAACCTTTTCAGCATTTGAGTGAAAGGCAATAGCCATTTCCAGCCTATGCACCCTCTCTTCAGAGGCGATTGTAAACTGTTTCCACACTCTGTTCAGTCGAGGAAGTGTGTCCCCAGATGACCGAGAGGTGCAGCGCAAAGACTGGCACAGCACAACTGTGGCCTGCAGCAACTGTCTTCCATAGTCATAAGTGCTCTAAAGAGGAAAAGCAAACACAAAGTTATAATCACAGAATTCTAAAAACAGGGACAGGAAAGTGAACGGGAGGACTGTAGCTGCAATTAAGTGACACTACTAGAAATCAATAATGAATGATTCCACTGGCACTTACTACTACAAGTTGTCTGCACGCATCAATAATTAAGGGGAAGCAATACTTCCAGTTAATTTTTATTAAGTTTATTTCTTGTTAGGCTTTCCTCTCTTACTCTGCTTTCCTCTCAGTCTGCTCAATTTCACCAGCCCAAAAAAGAAAGAAAAAATTAAAAAAAATCTGCTCACCCATTAATCAAAACAAATGGGCGGAAAGGGGCACTTTATATTCCACATGGGGAACCACACAGTTAACAACATGAACTCAGTAATTAGGCAAAATAAATTAAGATACTATTCACATGAAAAAAAATCCATGTTGTTATAACACTGACACTGGTGAGATGCACAAACTAGGGTTTCTAATTTACTGATATTAACTTATACTTCATAGTAACTTTTACAAATGAATGGTTACTGCCTTAAAATTACCATAATGTATTAATGTATCATAAATCAGAGGGAGCTACAGAACCTGTATTCAGGAAACCTTAAACTCTCTCAAATGTATACAGGCTAGTTTTGATTCATCAGCTGACATTTTCTTAGTTTTATATTTCTGGATTAATATAACTAACCTTCTTGGACTTTGAGGGCTAAGTTACATTAGAATCATGTAGAAAACTATTCTAACACTGAGCTTGTAGAAAAGGAAGATAACCAGTTCTGCACCTGTGCAACATCAACAAATTTTCTATGCTTCTCCAGCAGAACTTTCGTTTCCTGAGCATCATCCCCCAATCTGGTGTGTGTCTTAAGAAGAGCATCCAGAAGTTCACTGAGCCATTCTACTGCCTGAATGAAAATAAGTCACAGTCAACCTGGAGTCATAACTTTTTACCTTGAATAGCAAAACACCATATTAATAAAAAGAAAGATTACTATCATGTGATTAATTAACCCATTTGTTACAATCATAATAACTTATTTCATTCAGTGCCAAACTACATAAGTTAATGATCTCTCCTCTTCCTCAAAATCTTTAAAATCTAAAGACAAGACCTATTAAAGAGAAGTACTCATTTAAAATTAACATCAGATGATTTATATTAATAAAAAACCATGCATTTATGTAATATAGATCTTACTGGAATCGCATTACAGACTTAATGTTAGAACTTAAAATCCTAATTTTCTTCCATGTTAAGTTGTAACTGTTTTTTGATATTGACTACACAAAACTGCAAACTGTTTATCTAGCTACAAAACCCTCTTGTGGGTTAAAAGGCAGTAAACTATACCAGCCTTCATCCTGGGATGTAACTGACAAGCAAATCACAATAATAAATAATTCCAATCTCTAGCTCAATAGAGCATTTCATTGAGAAGTAAGTCAAATGAGACCAGTGAGATTACTGGAAATATAAAACTTTATTACTTCAACAGGATAAATGAGAATCTAATTTAATGAATTTACTTAGGACCATGAAAAGAACACTTCTGTTTACAGTTAGGTGAAATCAATTTTGTAAGTAAAGACAAGTACATAATATGCTTGATTGATCTTTACCTGGGCAGCATCTTCTTCACATTTAAACAACTGTACCATCTGAAGCATCTTTAATCTTCGCACATCTACCATGTCTTCACATCTAATAAATCCAAACATAAATTTAGGAAAACATTTCAGTTTTGTGGATAACTAGGATAACACCACCATCTGCACACATATTTTACAGTATATTAAAATACTTAGTCTTACACTATGGAGACTGCAACTATTTTGTATTGGTTTGCAAGAGTTTTAAGGATATCTGTATCTCTGTTCCATTAAAACCTCCAAATACCTGAAAGATACTAAATCACAAACCCTCTTGAGTATTGTATGGATTGTGCAAAATACTGAAGCAAAGCACAAACACAGTAGTGCACTAAAGCCTAAAGAAATATTAACTGTCAATTAGCATTAAACAAACTTCAAAGACAAAAACATAAAGTTTCTAAAATACTAGTTTGGAGAATGATGCTCCAAGGAAATAAAAAAAAAAATTAAAGCTTTTCATTATATTACATTACCAGAGTAATATCTAATTTTGAATTAAAAAATAAAAAACCTCCCATCTATGCTCTTAAGAAAGAAAAAAAATTCTCTGGACAGAAAAAAAACACAATTCAGAGTATTTTTAGATTTTAATGTGGTCTCCCTGGATAACATACAGATTAAAATTTTAAGCTGACTTGATCAATGAAGCTCTGATCCATTCCCTTCATTTCCATGCAATTCCATGTACTTCAGATGGGAAGGAGAGAATCTCACAGCAGTGCTGAATACCACTAACAAGCCACCCAGGAGGCACTGGGCTCCACTAAAGTTGATATTCTTAAGGGAGCTTGATAACAATAGCTAAGTCATTGTCACAGGCTTTTTTTATTTTTTTTGCAAGAATGCCCTTAACACAATCTATAACATATTTTTAAAGGGCAATTTGGTTAAATAATCTTACAAGGGACTGAAGAGAAGCGACTATATATATTTTTAAAATCTGAAGCTAAAAGACAAGGTAAGACATGTCAATGATGAAGACGTGTCTGAAATATGAAAGTATCATATTCAACATATATTTTCAGGTACTGGACAGTGTGCTTGAAAATATAAGACATGGTTTCTACTTATTAAGATGGTCCCATTTGGGAAGATGGACTTTGAAAAAAACAATGTGATAAATACTACTGTGGAGCTATATGAGAATAAGGAGGAATAAGTAAAAACTTGCCTAAGAAATCTAAAAAAACTCCCAAAGATAAGTACCCCAGAGTGTTGAATAGTAAGTAGGAATACACTAGGCAGAAAATGAGGGGAGAAGTATTCTAAGTACTCTGGATGCTTGAAACTGCATGATGCATTCAGGAAAGTGAAATAAGCGTGTGGTTTTGTAGGAAAGTTAAAGGAGGTAAGATTATACAAGACTGGATTATCAAGGGTCTCCTACACTATTCCAAGGAGACTGAACTTCATCTGAGGAAACAGGAGTCACCGAGAAGTTAGGTAATTGTATGCACGCTTTACAAAGATGGTGCTCATGCACAACAGACTGTAGAGAAGCAAGGAAGGAAGCAGGTAAGAGCTAAGATCATGAAAAAAGGATTCAGAGACAGCAAAACTTGGGCATTTGACGAGGCTGTAAGAGACGAGAAAGAGTAACGGTTTTGATAAAGCCTTCGGATAAATCACAAGTTGTGTAGCTGATGGTATTTTTAACTGGGACAGGAAACTAAAGGAGAAGAGCCAGTTTTGGAGGAAAGTGATTCCAATCCACACAAGTGAGTTTTAAGTATCGTATGGGGCACCCGTGGAGATGTTCAGTAGGTAAGAGGAATTACAGGTCCAAAGTACAGGGGAGGGATCTGGGTCAGAGCCATAACTACTCAATCACGGTCACACTGAAGAAAGTTGTTAAAGTAGTGAGACTGTCCAGGGAGAAGACAATGAGTGAGAAGAGGATCTGGCCTCAGAACAAACCCTGAAAGCAGTGAAATTAGCTAGAGGACAAGAAATCAGTGCGGAAAACCAAAAGAAACAGAGTGCCCAGGAGAATCATAAAGGTGTTTTTAAAGTATATAAAGTCAGGGAGTTTCAAAAAGAAAAAAAAATGTCAGTTGTCCCTAATGCTATCCAGAGTGGTCAAGCAGTGTCAGAACCAAAAGTATTCCTTGGATTTTGAGCAAGATGAAGGGTTTATTTGCATGTGGCAATTACAGTCACTGATGACATCAGTAAGAGCAAGTTCAGTGAAGTGGTGAGGGGAGAGGTCAGACGAAGAAGAGCTGAAAAGTAAACTGGAGACAGTGAGGAAGTATGAATGCAGATTAGATCTGCAATGACAGCTGTCAAGAAGGAGAGCTCAAGGGAGAGAAAGAAAGGTTTGAAGAGGAGGTAGTAATTTCACGCAAAGATAAACACCAGAAAGGACAGAAACAATACGGACCTAACTAAGCAGAGGTATTAAGAAGAGGCGGCAAGAATACACAGAACTATACAAAAAAGATCTTTATGACCCAGATAAACACAATGGTGTGATCACTCACCTAGAGCCAGGCATCCTGGAGTGCGAAGTCAAATGGGCTGTAGCAAGCATCACTATGAACAAAGCTAGCAGAAGTGATGGAATTCCAGCTGAATTATTCCAAATCCTAAAAGATGATGCTACAAAAGTGCTGCACTCAATATGCCAGCAAATTTGGAAAACTCAGCAGTGACCACAGGATTGGAAGAGGTCAGTTTGCATTCAAATCCCAAAGAAGGGCAATGCCAAAGAATGTTCAAACTACCACACAATTGCACTCATTTCACATGCGAGCAAGGTCATGCTCAAAGCCCTCCAAGCAAAACTTCAACAGTACATGAACCAAGAACTTTCAGATGTACAAGCTGGATTTAGAAAAGGCAGAGGAACCAGAGATGAAACTGCCAACATCCACTGGATCATAGAAAAAGCAACAGAAGAAAATCTACTTCTGCTTCACTGACTATGCTAAAGTCTTTACTGTGTGCATCACAACAAACTGTGGAAAATTCTTAAAGTGAGTGCCAGACCACCTTACCTGTCTCCTGAGAAACCTGTATGCAGGTCAAGAAGCAACAGTTAGAGCCAAATACAGAACAACGGACTGGTTTAAAATTGGAAAAGGAGTTGTCAAGGCTGTATACTGTCACCCTGATTATTTAATTTATATGCAGAGTACATCATGCAAAATGTCGGGCTGGATGAAGCACAAGCTGGAATCCAGATTGCCGGGATAAATATTAATAACCTCAAATATGCAGATGGCACCACCCTTGTGGCAGAAAGCAAAGAGAAACCAAAGAGCCTCTTGATGAAGGTAAAAAAGGAGAGTAAAAAAGCTGGCTTAAAACTCAACATTCAAAAAATGAAGGTCATGGCATCTGGTCCCATCATTTCATGGCAAAAAGATAGGGAAACAATGGAAACAGTGGCAGACTTTATTTTCTTGGGCTCCAAATCACTCTAGACGGTGACTGTAGCCATGAAATCAAAAGATACTTGCTCCTTGGAAGAAAAGCTATGACAAACCTAGACATTACATTAAAAAGCAGAGACATGACTTTGCCCACAAAGGTCCGTATAGTCAAAGCTCTGGTGTTTCCAGTAGTCATGTATGAATGTGAGAGTTGGACCATAAAGAAAGCTGAGTGCCGAAGAACTGATGCTGTTGGAGGAGTCTCTTCAGAGTCGCTTGTACAAAGCAAGATCAAACCAGTCAATCTTAAAAGGAACTCAATCATGAATATCCACTGAAGGACTGATACTGAAGCTGAAACTCCAATACTCTGGCCACCTGACTCTAAGAGCCAACTCACTGGAAAAGACCCTGATGCTGGGAAAGATAGAAGGAGAAGGGGATGACAGAGGACAAGATGGTTGGATGGCATCACCAATTCAATGGACATGAGTTTGAGCAAGCTCTGGGAGACGGTGAAGGACAGGGAAGCCTGGCGTGCTGCAGTCCATGGGATCTCAGAGTTGGACAGGACCAGGGACTGAACAATAACGAAGTATTTGAATGAAAGGCAGGGATTAGAGTAGAGAGCAGGAACTGACTGAGTGAGGAGACATGGGGATACACAGTTTCGGTAAGAGTGAAGCTTTTTCATCCTTCTGATGAAAATAATGAAATGGATAAGTTTGCAGATACGAGGATAGAAGGAATTTCTATCTAATGACTGTTTTGTCTGTGATGCAGAGGGAAGTTTCTGTGAGGTTTTATTGATGCCCTTGAAATTTCTAAGTGTACAAAAATTTCATACAACCATGCTAGCCTGTATGTACTAGCATATATTAATTTAATCCTTTATTTTGCAATATTCTGCAATTGCTATTGCAAGTTGAGTTTTCAAAGAACCCTTTAAATTTCTAGTTCTGCCATATAACAAATGAAACTAAACATTACCCAGAATTTACTGTCTAATCCTTCTACAGCAAATATGAGAACAATGGATGAGTGACAATTTGTGTGAGGTTTAGATGAAGAAACAGATCAACGTATGATAAACTTAATAGCAACTCTAAACTAAATGAAAATGGAAATGCCAGATTCTCCAGGGTCCTAAAAGACAGATGAGTCACAGGCTATACTGGGATTAAAGAATATGATCCACTTAAATGGAAATGAAATTTTTATCACTGAGTAAAAAGGCAAAAGGTACACATTATACGAATGAATTGCCATTACTTGTTAGTACAATTATACACAATATACAATATACACAATATACACAATAATCACTACATTTACCAAAACTTACTACATGCCTGCTATGTAACAGATTAAGAATTTCTACTTTGTATGGAAAATATATCCCTTTTCATTTTAATTAATATTATGTTGTCTCAGCAAAAATTAACAAGAACAGTCAAACTTTGCCTTTGTTTTCTAAGCTGCATGTCTTCCATCACTCCTTGTATGTGGTCCACATTTTCCTTATTTTCAATGGTTACATCCTTTCCATAGGCCCAGGATGCCTGATTGGAGATCTGATCCAGAAGACCTTGACCTTTTTCACGCAAACCTTGCAATCCTACATCTAAAACAAAAGTTGCCAGATTTAATCTCTTAAGCAAGAGCAGCTTTCCCTCCCTTAATTAAATCTTCTCAGCAAATATTGTACTTGGATTGCAAGGATAACAGCTTTGTACACTAAAACTATTTTGGGCTGGAGCCCTCTGAATATTTCAATCAATAAAACCTATTTAAATGTGGCTCAAATTGGAGTTCCCTTCTCATTCAAATTCTCCCTAAAGAGAATTTCTAAAAGGTGAACTTCTGTAGATAACTAATCACTTTTCAAAACTGCAAGTAGAAAGTGTGAGAATTCCTGTCTTGATGAGTAAGATTTTCAGTTTTTTCCCTTCTGTTTTTACATAGTTCAGTTCTGAGAACACAGGAGAAGGCAAATGCTTTGTTCAAAAAATATATTAGAGCCACAAGACATTAAAACAGTCAAGCACTGCATTCTCAGTGTGAAAGGACACAACATTTTGAATATAGGTGCTGTCAGCTTATGCTCAGGAAGAAGCAACACTTAGGATATATTTATAAGACTTTAAATTAGTTACATATATTGGAATTCCTTTAGCATTATTAAAGGAAAAATATCACTCAAGAAAACTTGTGACATTTTTGAAATAAATTTCATTTGGCAAATTAGATACTAAACATGTAATTAGTTACATCATCCATTAAAATAACAAAGACTATAAGTAAGTAAAATGTCAATACAAACATGATTTTTCAAACCCACTCCCTCAAGTCCTTCTCAAAATTGATTAAATTGGTTCAGTCACATGTCACCATTTTCCACTAAATCACTGCCTCAAGTTTCTGCTTCCTCTCCTCCATTTTCCTTTGCCCAATGTCCCACTCAGTACACACACCCTCCACCCCCATTTTCACAGCCACTATTCACTTCTCCTGGTCATGACCTAGGAAAACTCTGTATTTTCTACTTGTAGTAAAAGTCAAAAGGCTATGGTGTCAAGTAAGGGTACTACCTTAATAAAACTGAACCATCCCCTCCTTGGAGAGTATGTAACCTTGGCAATATTCCCAGTTCGGAGAAACAAATGCACAGAACCAAACCAACTATTCTTTTCACAAGGTTAGGATATAGCAACAACAAAAATCATTGCATAAAACACAGTGTGGGGCATACAGGGTTTACCACAGAACACTTCACAGCTAAATACAGGTTATGCATGCACTACAGATAACTGTTCATAGAATATGCAAGACATGGCACTTATAGATTCGGTTGGGTAAACAGGAAAGGCCGAAGGCCTTATGAAGAAGGGTGACGGGCCACCAATGGAAGGTAAGGACTGTAGCATAAACTACACCCTGTAAGGGGGTAAAAACTGTTTATACTAATTTTTCCTGTGTTCCCTGTAAATGATTTTAATTAGATCAGTAGAAGTTGACTTGTCTAACCATGGTAATGATATTTTTAAAAAAAGAACCCTTATGTTTCAGCATTTTTAAAATCTGCTTACCAACACTTTTCAGCTTCTCTTCAAGCAGTTTTAAAGTTTGCTGAATCGATGCTCCATCAGCTGGTGCTACATCTACGCACAACATCCCTAATAAGCCATCCAACTGCTGAGACAACTAAAGCAGAGGGACACCAAAGAGATAACCCTGATATAATCAGCATCTACAGTGTTTAATGATTAATGAGGCTTATATCTAATGAAGTTACCACGATTATACTTGAAAAAGACTCTGCTGTTAAAAGACAAGGACACATAATTAGAATACACGTTATCTGAAAGACAGAACACAGAGATGCATGCACCAGGAAGACAGTATGTCCAGGTCAGCAGAATGCAGAAAAGTATTGAAACTTTCATTTCAATCTATGTTATAAAACATGAACATTGAAAAACTATCCAAACAAAATCTATCAATTACATTGGGACACTATTTAGACAAAAAAAAAGTTTAGTTGCATGCAGAATAATGTAACATAAAATTAAAAAAAATAATAATAAAAAAATCTATCTTGTTTCCCCCACCAGTAAATTTTACTGTTCCAGAAAAATAGTTAAGAGACATGCAAACCTGCAAAAATGATGTGCAGATAAGTACTCAGATAATCTGAAGCAAAGAAAAGCAATCAGAGTAGTCACTTACATCTTGAGCAACACCATGAAATTCAAGAGCTGCTTGTAGCAGATTCTGCCTAAATTCCAGCTGACTGGCCTGTCGATAACAAACATCACTAAGTTGTTGCTGGAGCGACTTCAGTTCCACAAGATCTTCTTCATCCCCAGCATTTAAGAGTGCTGCAATTTGCTGATTAAGCTCCACATAAACTGCAAACCATTCCTATAATAGAGACAAGGATCAAATTAGCTCCTGAAGAACACACTACATTTTACAGTATCTCCAGATATACTAAGTAACATATATGAGATTTTTTTAAACCAAAATAATTTGAGGACAAAAAGTCCCAGGGTTCAAATTCTTTCACTGAGATCCCTGGAATAACTCCTGCCAACACCAAAGTCTATCTCCTCATGGCTGGCCTCTGAATGTTCCCCTCTCTTTCCTGTTCTCTGTGAAACCCATCACCCTCGGAGAGAGCAGTGAGCCTGCCGTTCTGCTGCTGCTGCGTCCAGGTGACCGACCACAAGCCTGGAGGTGAGGGAGAGGGCTGCCTCACTCCTCACTCCGATTTCCAAACCATTTCTTCCATCCTTCTCTCAAAAGCCACACCTCCTGTGAAGTGCATGTTGTCGGACTCCATCCTGCGGCCCTTCCCGCTGCGTGCCGCACCTCAGTCGGTAGACTTCTCTGCCTTCCCCTCAGTGTCAGCCTTCTTCCTGACTCCCACTGTGCAGGCATCCGGCCAACACTCAACTCAGTTCCTCGACTCCCTCCCTTACTTCCATCTATCCTGCCCTCACCTACACCTCAGCTACCTACTCCAACAGACACAAAATCTGTTATTAATATCATGTACTACTGTACAGCCCCCATATCTTAACTTCAGGAATCCCACTCTCTGACCCCCAGTTACTGACTCTCCAGTTCACATCCTTTGGTACGCCGGCTCCTGCAGCCCTGTGAGGTTCACCAATCCACTGACCTCAGCATATTCTGCTGTCTAGCACTCAAGAGCCCCATGTCCTCACTTCTACACTTTGTCAGAGGCTATAACACCTCCCAGGGCACAACCTATGCTCATGCCACACTCTGTTTCCTCCATCAGATTCACCTGTCAAAAATGAAGAACAGATGCAGAAAAACCTTTTGATAAAATTCAGCATCCATTTATGAGAAGAATTTCCCAGAAACTCTACTCAACACTCTGTAATGGCCTATGTGGGAAAATAAACTTAAAAACAGTAGATATATGTATATGTATAACTGATTCAATTTGTTACAGCAGAAACTAACACAACATTGTAAATCAAGTACAATAAAAAATTTTTTAAAGACCTTCTACTTTTGAAAGAAGCAAAAAAGAAAAACCCAAAACAAAAAACCCTCAACAAATAACTAGCAAGCCAAATCCAATACTTTAAGTGGATCATATACTGTGATCAAGTGGCATTTATCCCAGGGATGCAAGGATTTTTCAGTATCCACGTTCGATACATCACATCAACAAATTAGAAAATAAAAACCATATGATCATCTCGATGCAGAAAATTCTTTTGACAAAATTAAATATTCATTTATGATTAAAAAAAAAAACTTTCCAGGAACTAGGCATAGAGGGGACAAACCTCAACATAATAAAGACCACAAAGGAAAACCCCAGAGTTAACATATTCAATGGTGGAAAGCTTAAAGCATTTCCTCTAAGATCAAGGACAAGACAAGGATGCTCATTCTCACTGCTCTTATTCAGCAAAATTTTGGAAGTCCTAGCCATAGCAATCAGAGAAGAAAAAGAAATAAAAGGAATCCAAATTGGAAAAGTAGTAGTAAAAGTGTCATGTTTTGCAGATGACACGATACTCTACACAGAATATCCTAAAGACACCACCAGAAAACTACTAGAGCTCATCAAAGAATTTGGTAAAGTTTCAAGATATGAAACTGTTAGCAGTTGGGTATAGGTCAAGGCTGAAGATACTAATTTGCAAAGTATTAGCCAATGGATGTTATTTAAAGGCATGGGACTAGATGAAATTATCCAAACACAAAGAGTATTGGTTTAGACGAAAAGAGCCTTTGGAAAGCTGAACCCTGGGTCACTCCTAAATTCAGAGGGCAATGAGAGGAAAGAGATTGAGCAGAAGAGGCCAAAAAGGACCTGTGTGTTTCAGGAAAGAAGTAAAAAACGAGGGAGAAGTGGTCATCTTTATTAAAATTTACTGAAAGGTCCAATAAGATAAGGACTGAAATTCTGATAAGAGTGGGAAGGACATAAAATCCTGATCAGAGTCAATTAAAAAAAGAAGAGGAAATGAGAAGATAAGAGTATAGCCAATTTATATTAATTCATATATTATTATATATATAAATTTATATTAAAATGCACATATCTTGAGCATATATTTTGTTTTTAATGTAAAATACAGTATTTGTACACCGATGGAAATAATCCAGTTGAAAAGAGAGAAGATAATTGCAATAGCAAAGCCCTGCATAGGTAACACAGTCTATAGAGTGTAGTGGAGTGGTTGGTCTTAGAATCAGGCATAGTTCCTTCATTATTTTGGCAGGGAGGGCAAAGCAACAAAGATTTATCAATAAATAAATCAATAATGCCAACGTCGAGAAAACCTGCTCCATACGGCTGTCCCTTGTATCTGAGGGGGATTGGTGCAGGGATTCCAAAATCTACGGATGCTTAAGTCTCATACTTAGCTCTCCATATCTGAGAATGTAGCACCCATGGATACAGAGAAATAACTATGTATACATATGTATAAACACACATATAAATATATATGTGTGTGTGTGTGTGTCACACACATATATTTTATTCAAAATGCTCCTTCCTAGAAAATAAGGGAACGTAAAATTTATAGAACCTTAGGTGAACAGGCTATATTCAGTTCAGTTATGGTCATTCTATGGTCTACCTTTCAAAAACATTTACCTGCATAGAAAATGATTATTTCATAGCCATTCCACCCCCAAACACATACATACATGAAACAAAAACAAAAACACACCACCACCAAGATATGGGATTTGGATTAAGACAGTAGGTAAGAAACATCCTGGGTGTTCACATACTAGAAGAGAGGCAATCACCAGGATTAAAAGCTAAAATAAGGTTTATGATTGGACTAAAATACTTTAAACTTTATTTTGCATCCTTATTATCATACACTCATTTCCATACACTTCAATATTTTCTGTCGTGCTTACCTAGTATTCAAAAATCAAGAAAACTTCTTATTGACGCTCCTTGATAAAGAACTACATATTAGTAGGACTTTAATTTTCCATATATTAGTATTGAAAATCCTTATTGATTTGGGATTGTTTTAGCTTTATTTCTGAATTATGCTTTTATAAAGAATCTAAAATTTAGTATTTAACAGATTGCTTTAACCCAAAATGGCATATTAAAAGTTTCTCCAAATTCTACCTATATTAAGTAATCAATATATTAGAAATCTGTCAGTTTCATAAGACCTGAACAATTCCAATATATGTTTTCAAGTGTTGACTTTTATTTACCAAAAGAAAAATTTTAATACTAGAACATCTTAAGCATCATAAGCTAATGTATGCATCTTGCATCAGACAACCTGTTCTCAAGGTGACAATGCAGTGCCACCTATTGGTTAAAACACTGCAATTCAAGTTTTGCTTTTTATAACTAAGGATTTTTTTTTCCTTAGTATTTTCGATCTCTGGTTGGTTGACTCCTCAGATATATGTGGAACCTGTGGTTATGGAAAGGCCCACAGTATATATATTATCTTTGCAATGTTCCTAGTTAGTACATGAAAGTGACCTAAAAATAAAACTCTATAATTGAAAAATCTAAATATTTGCAGATGACACCACCCTTATGGCAGAAAGTGAAGAACTAAAGAGCCTCTTGATGAAAGTGAAAGAGGAGAGTAAAAAAGTTGACTTAAAACTCAACATTCAGAAAACTAAGATCATGGCATCTGGTCCCATCACTTCATGGCAAATAGATGGGGAAACAGTGAAAACAGTGGCTGACTTTATTTTTGGGGGGCTCCAAAATCACTGCAGATGGTGACTGTAGCCAGTTAAAAGACGCTTACTCCTTGGAAGGAAAGTTATGACCAACCTAGATAGCATATTAAAAAGCAGAAACATTACTTTGTCAACAAAGATCCGTCTAGTCAAGGCTATGGTTTTTCCAGTGGTCATGTATGGATGTGAGAATTGGACTATAAAGAAAGCTGAGCGCCAAAGAATTGACGCTTTTGAACTGCGGTGTTGGAGAAGACTCTTGAGAGTCCCTTGGACTGCAAGGAGATCCAACCAGTCCATCCTAAAGGAGATCAGTCCTGGGTGTTCATTGGAAGGACTGATGTTGAAGCTGAAACTCCAATACTTTGGCCACCTGATGCAAAGAGCTGACTCGTTTGAAAAGACCCTGATGCTGGGAAAGATTGAGGGCAGGAGGAGAAGGGGACGACAGAGGATGAGATGGTTGGATGGCATCACCAACTCGATGGACATGGGTTTGGGTGAACTCCGGGAGTTGGTGATGGACAGGGAGGCCTGGCGTGCTGCGGCTCACAAAGAGTCGGACACGACTGAGCGACTGAACTGAACGGAACTATTTTATGCATTTCATAGGTTCCAACATGATCTTTTTCCTTTTATGCTGAAGAAAAAATGTTCAATGATTTGTATGTAACTTACAGCTCCTGTTCCTGAGATAATACTTTTAAAATTCAAGACTACAGATGAAGGTTCTATTTATGTACTATCACTCTTTCTTCTGTTACTGTGGTTTTTAAAATTTCACATGAATTGTGTTTCTAAACCGAAAACCAAAACCAAACGTGTGATGAATATGTACAGAGTGGTCAAGTGCTATCAATGTACCTGATAACCACACTGTACTTTATGACCCTAAACCAAAGTACATAGCAACTTGTCACTCAGTACCACACATGCTATAAATTATCATTGACAACAGTGCTGTAACTTGCAGAGGAAAGAGCATCTCACACTGTGCTGGCTCTCGATCTCTTCATGCTTCTGCTGCAGGGCTTGGGAAGCCCGGATGGAGTCTCCAATTCCCCACTGGGCTCTCAGCTGCTCTGATCCAGGCCCTTCAAGCCAGTTCACAACCTATGAATGGAAGTTAAGATGAAATTTTAAAATAATCAAAAACTTTTCAAGCTTTCATTCTAATTGGCTTACCCCTCCCAAGGTTCCTCAAGTATTTTTAATTTAAATTCTTTAAATTCTATTTTATTGAACATTGTATTTTATTATATATAGTAAATGTTTCTTTTGGAACTATACGGCTATAATATGACAACTTTCCCAAACTTGAATTTGATAAAATGTACACTAGAACATCTTAGGCTTTCAGCTACCTGATTATCTGCCAGGTTCAAAAAAATCTGGGATGCTCCCCTAAGATAGGATTAAAAACTAACTTATGATGATAAGAAAATCAGAGAACTACAGGATTTAAAATTGGAAAGGGCATCAAAAATGACATTTGTGAAATGTTTTTATCTAATAAGAAAACTGAGTTTCAGAAAGATTGTGACTTGTTCAAGGTAACAGAACTCATTATTTAGTAACTAAGAGTCACATGTCTTGACTCAGCATCTAGAGTTCTTTCCAAAGTATCGAAAAAACAGAATTAACTGATATAGAGATAAAATATTATTTTTCTCACTCTTAAAATTAAAAACATTAGAATTATACTACTGCAATACGCTCGAGGGGTCTGAAAGACCATCTGAAGTCCCATTGGCACCAGGTCTACTCAGAAAGATGTAGGGAGGAGACTATAGTTTGCCAAAAGAGCAGCATTGGGTGTTTCTCTTTTGCTAAGTCCCTGAAGCAGTCCATCAGTTCAGGAGATGGGATCCATATGGTATTGATATGGGAGACACTCTATTAAAACCTCATACCACACAAGTGTCATGCCCATTGTAAAAGTCACTGAGCTCAAAGATGTGCAAAGTCATGCCTTCCACCAAGTTATTAACAGTTCTTCCAATCCAGACCCAGAATAATTTTTATTACAAGCAGTGTTGCTGATGTAATAACACAGCTGACATTGTAATTTTCATCACGTTTTCAAGAGAATACAGCTAGACAGTTAAGATCAAAATCTCACACAGAAGAAGATGAAATTCACATGCAGAAGAAAAATGGGTTTGCTTACTCCACCCATAAACATATATACTCTAAAACTACATAGACACAGTGAAGTAATTCTAACAGAAAAAAATAGTACCCAGCTGGACCAAGCTAAATTATTACTTAGCAAGCTAAATTCAAAACAGAAATTCAACAACAGATATATGGTTATGCCCTAAATCTTAACTTAGCACAGCTCCCCAGAAATGAATAAGGATGTCTCTGCAAAGAGTCAAACATGCTTAAGAGACTAAGCAGGCATGCACACATGCACACGCATGCACACAGAGCAAAGTAATACTAGAGACTCAGTGAGACAGGCTTATCTTATCACAGACCCATAGTGCATTCCATAGTTACTACCAGGTTAATATATATTTACTTTAAAATCTAAGAATTTATGTAGTTTTAATAATTATATAAAACCACCGCATCATACCTGCCTCCTGAGAAACCTGTATCCAGGTCAAGAAGCAACAGTCAGAACCAGACATGGAACAACGAACTGGTTCAAAATTGGGAAAGAGTTACACCAAGGCTGTATGTTGTTACCCTACTTATTTAACTTACATGCAGAGTACATCATGTGAAATGCCAGGCTAGATGAAGTTCAAGCTGAAATCAAGATTGCTGGGAGAAATATCAATAACCTCAAATATGCAGATGACACCACCCTTGCGGCAGAACATGAAGAGGAACTAAAGAGACTCTTGATGAAGGTGAAAGAGGAGAGTGAAAAAGCTGGCTTAAAACTCAACATTAAGAGAACTAAGATCATGGCATCTGGTACCATCACTTCATGATAAACAGATGGAGAAAAATGGAGAGAGTGACAGACTATTTTCTTGGGACTCCAAAATCACTGGGGATGGTGACTGAAGCCATGAAATTAAGAGACATGTGCTCCTTGCGAAAACAGCTGTGCCACCCCTAGACAGGGCACTGAAAGGCAGAGACATCACTTTGCCCACCAAGGGCCCTACAGTCAAAGCCAGGCCTTCTCCAGCAGTCAGAAGTGAGAGCTGGACCATAAAGAAGGCTGAGTGCCGAGGAACTGATGCTTTTAAACTGTGGTCCTGGAGAAGACTCTTGAGAGTCCCCTGGACAGCATGGAGATCAAACCAGTCAATCCTAAAAGAAATCAGTCCTGAATATTCATTGGAAGGACGGATGCTGAAGCTCCAATACTTTGGCCACCTGATGTGAAGAGCTGACTCATTGGAAAAGACCCTGATGCTGGGAAAGATTGAAGGCAGGAAGAGAAGAGGATGAGATGGTTGGATGGTATCACCGACTCAATGGAAATGAGTTTGTGCAAACTCCAGGACATAGTCAAGGACAGGAAAGCCTGGCATGCTGCAGTCCATGGGATTGCAAAGAGTCAGACACAACTGAGTGACTTAACAATAACAATAACCCCAACCTAAGGAATAATCATGTGTATTTCCTTTCATTAATTTTTCATAAGCATTTAATTTTCATATGTTACTCCAGATTTAAGTGCTATAGTCGATTCTCATAGAATACAAGTAATTTCTCTCTTGGGCTTTTCACTTTCCACGTGGCTATAGTTGGTATAATTTTCAGTGGTTCTAAATCTCTTTCTTAAGGAGGCCAACCTCCTTGCCTGCCTCACCCTCTTGCTCTCTCATCTGTCCAACCAAACCATCCAATAAACCAACACCACTAAAAGCTAAGTAGGTAACATCCTACATCCTACATCAACATCCTACATTACTTGATGTTTTCACAGCTCCGGTTCTCTATTGTTGAGCATCTGAGCAATTTAAACATGAATATTATACAGCAGTTATGCAACAGAATTTTTCGCCAATCCTCTATTGTTTTCTTAGAAAATGTTTTCAATGACACCCTGGGTCCAATGATCTTGTAATGTTAATGGCTAATATACATTATAAAATTACTCTCTAAAACACTTCTTTCTGTATGAAACATTCAAGTCATGAAAATTTTAACTGAAAATAAACCTTCACAACATATGCATACTATTGCTTTGTTTATAATTTTTATTTTCTGAGAGTCTTAGTGCAATATTTTGAGAAACACCTACACAGGAGCTCTGGGAGAAATAGTATCTGACAACCAACATATTTTTTGTCATTTCCAAAAAACTCTTGTAATGGGGTTCTTGCCCTCAGCCTACTTCAACTTTAATGGAAGAGATAAGATGGGTAAATAGTCAAGCAAAACAATATAGTAATGATTACATTTAATTTGAAATCATTTATGTTTATTACAAAAGTGTGTTAGAGACGGTAACTAAGAAACAAACTAGTTAGAGCATAAGAATGTTGGTAAGTTCCTAGGTGTATGATACCAAGTTGACTAAAATTAGGGGAAAGTTTTCTGGAAACAAAGTAGATATGATTTACTTTTTGATTTTATATTTTCTAACATAGATTAGCTTAAAAAAAAAAAAGAGTAAGACTTACTGTTTGTTAATAACCAGAGGGGAAAAGCAGAACAGCGTACTAAATAAAAATCTTTTCATGTGGACAGAATGCTCATCTTTGGTGAAATCTCTCCCCCGGTGTGGTTCTGTGTGGCATTCGGGATGCAGCACAATGGCTAGCTGGCATGGCATACGACGTCATATGATGCCGTGGATAGTGGGCCCTGGTCTATGCATCACCATTTCCTCCTTAACCAAGCCCACCCTGTACATTCAGGGCTCCTCAAGGCTGCCATGCTCTCTCACTAGCCTTGCCTCAATATGGGCTGTCCTGATGCCTGAAATCTTTCAGCCCCTTCTCTTCCTGACCTCTTTTTCATCTTTCAAAATTCATCTCATGCTGATGATTTTGGTCTTACGTTTTCTACTGAACTGTTTCTTTTGATCTATTTTTTCAATAGAGTTGTTTTTCATTTCCAAGAGCCTGGATGCTTCTGATTTGTCTGAACTTACACCGTTGATCCAAATAAAAACAACATTCTTGTGATTACTATTGCTATTTCTTTTTAATTTTGAAACTTCCCATAATAAGAATACTTTAAAAAGCATTATTACAAATTACACATTTTAAAGTTATAATTTGGAGCAATATTCTCAAGCCAAAATCCCTCTGAGTCATTTTTTGCTCCTTTTTTTTGCCTCTTACGTCCTGCATATCTGATACCCTCAGAATCCTGTTGTTTTGACTTTCAAAATAAAACTGCATCTAAGCCTGCTTCAGGCCTTACTGAGATCCCTGTGGCAGCCTCCCAACCAGGCTTTCTGTTTCTGGTTTTGCACTCTACATAGCTGACTACTGCTTTTAAAATACTTCCACCAAGTTTAAAACAGAAATCTCTTCAGGTATGTTTCTAAATATTAGAATAAATAAATTGTGAATGTTTGCTTATGAATAATATACCATTCTTTTGGGATTTATCTTTTGGTGCCTGTCCCCTTTTTTATCCCAGTATCTTAAATATTAATATATTCGTAGCTTCTACCTTTTCTACAAGGTCTTACTACTAGGGAGCAAAAAAAAAAAAAGTTTAAGTATTATTTTCGACTCACTGGAATAACCTCACTGCTATGATTTTCTTTGTTAAATTCATGTTTTCAGAGTCCTAAATTCATCTGCAAAGCCCTAGCAGCAGATGCTCTTTAGAATACAATGTTCCTCAACATCTCCACATTTTCTGCTTTATTCTTTTGTATGAGCTGTTTTTGATGGGGCAGGGTACTAGGCTCCTGTTTGTGTCCACCAGCCTGTGCAAAGTATCACTCTTTCACAAGAGACAGATAAGCAGTTTGGTCTAGAGAAAGCACTAAATATGACTCTGAAATCTGAATTCTGGCTCTGCCCCTAGGAGGTGAAAGACTCTGGTCCATCACATTTAAGATGTGTCAATGCTACCTACTGTACAGAACTGTTGTCATGATTATAGTCATTATGTAAGATATTTGAGCACAGAGGATGATATGGATAGTTGTCAGTCTCTTTGCTTTTCTCACTTTT